TCTAAACTTTGTGCAAAACTCAGGAAAATTCATTAAATTTGCACACTAATTTGCAACTTTTTATTCAAATTTTTTAGAAAAATTCGAAGTATGCAGTTTTATAGCCCATTCAAATTTAGTGTAACGAAGTGCAAGTTTGAAGTAGCTAGAAAATCGCATTGATTTTTGGTAATTCTTTTCACGCAAGTTCTTCCATACAAAGTAATTTGACAATTATTTTTTGTATGGAGAAAATGAGCAACACCTTCCACTAAAAAAATTGCCAAAAATCAACGCGATTTTCTAGCAACTTTAAACTTGCACTTTGTTGTACTAGATCTGAATCTGCTATAAAACTGCATACCTAGGATTTTTCTAGAAAATCTGAATAAAAAGTTGTAAATTAAAGTGTAAATTTAATGAATTCTCCTGAGTTTTGCACAAAGTTTAGAGTTTTTATTATTGCGTTTTCTGGCGTAGAATGAACTATATTTTTATAAAAAATTATCGAAAATAAATTAGAATAAAAACCTTTGCATATATGGCGTAAAATTCACTGTGCCAATACTTTTGTTCGTCACTGTATGTATAGAAAGTGAAACGTCCGCATAAAAAAATAGTATGCAGGAAAACCTGCATCAATTATATGCTACGAAACCACATTGAATTATTTATTCCATGCGTAGATATGTATTAGGGTTGTCCTACATCTCAATTTTATATCGTGAACCGGTTTATTTTGTTCTACGTACAAAATACAATCATCCACGAAAATTTAAAAAAAATGTAGGGCTTGAAACAAATTTTATTTAAAAATTCCAAATTGTCGACCTGTTTTCGACTTCACATTTGGTATATTTCACTTTTTTTTTTCTCAAAATGTTCAAAGTTTTCGACTTTAAGTCTGATATATTTCACATATTATTGAAACTTATTCATATAAATCCACGAGGATGACATTTTATATCAATATAATGAGCTCCTCTATCCCATTAAGTTTACATATGTAGATGCCATTTATGAACACAGTGTACAGTGGTACTGGCCAGATCCAGAACTTATTAGAATCGAATACCTACATATAATAGCCGTTAGAATTTTTTTCATTATTAATATTCGAGGAGCTGGAAAATCTATGAGACGGGAAGGTCTTACAAATTTTTCTTTAAGCTGGCGAAACAGGCAGACTGTGAAGAACGTTGGGATAATGCAGAGATGTGTCATCTCGGTATAAAAAAGTTCCTCCCAGAACTTTAGCGGCATTATTTAAAAGACTTCAGAAGCGTCTAGCTTTTAGAAGATATTAAATAAATCTCCAAGAATACCTTCACTAGTCCGGAGAGAGAATGGCGAATGGATCAAAAGCTGCAGGAAAACTCTAGAGCATAAACCCACATTGTGAACTTTCCGACGGACGAAGATGCCAAAGACCTATTTAATAACAACATCTAAGTCTGTTCAAATCAGTTTTGGGATCAATACACTCAGCACACTTGCAGAAGGAAAGTATTTTTTATGTATTTAATAGCTTATAAGAACTTTCTAAAACTGCTACTATTTACTGGGAGAGGCAGTCACTTCAATTCCAAAGATATTTGACTAATTTACCCAACAACGTTTATTTTAAAGCAATAAAAAGGTTACTTGATGCATATATGAGGCCATGAGGGCCAGAGTAGCCGACATTAAAAAAAATTGAGGTGCACCTTATAATAAATTACTAGAATCGAAACGTGAATAGCCCGTGGCACGCCCTTTTAGTTTTTTTTTACTAAAATATGTAGCATAGGTGCATGAACTTTTTAGCAAATGACCGCATTTATTTTTTATAGATCCTTTCTCATATTAAAAAACAAATAATAATTTATAGATAAGCTCCTCTGGACCTCATGGCCTCATATTAGGCCTAATGTCTATAAGTCATATAATACGAAGGGAAAGTCCACAGAAATAGTTCTTCCCATCGTAGGGTAGCGTAGAGGAAATGCTATGCATTTCGTGATGTCTTCATTCCATTGGCGTCTATTTTGGCATATAAGGCTGGATCGCAAATACTTTGAAGTGTCAGACAATCAAGTCTGAGTGGAGCTCGTCTATTACTTCAACTAAAGAGGTTTTTCTATCCCTGTTGAGTATAATACTCTATAAGTTTGAAAAAGCTTATAACTCCCTATTCGCATGTAGGCAAACATTCGGTAATATATGGCCTCCGGCTTACCGTCTACTTTATTGGATGTAATGTCTGTACAGAACTTGAAGTTTACGGTGCCCGAATAACCATCCCTATCTCTCGTGTGAACATATTCATTGGCATTCAGGCTGCCATTAAGACAGTAAATTGTGTGATGGCAGTGCAGAAGCAAAATGTATGAAATTTATAGTAACAGAAAGGTGACTTATCAAATAGAGACAAGACTGGTGCGCTATTAAAAATTTATGAAAGGCTATCATCAGCTTATGAGGATCGCGCCTATAGGCAATCTCAGTACGAAGTTAGACATGATAAAAACATAACAAGGTAAAACCATTGAGAGGCAGTCTGACGTTTGCCAACAATATAATTTTAAAATCAAAACTCAAACTCACACACACATTCTCATTTTCAATCTCAAACAACAACAATTGTGAACAATTTAATTTTTTTTATTTTCAATTTTATATGATTTTAAAATGTTGGCAAACGTCAGAACAAAATCATGGCCGACGAATTGAGAGAATGAATTTACCTTGTAATGTTTTTATCATGTAAAATACTATAAACTGTCAAGAAATCGAATTTTACTGGAATAATTTTCTAAAGCATAGACTAATGGCGTTATTTTTTCTGCCGAAAAATGCTACCTTCTCAGCGCCCTCTAAGCACAAATGCTAATGAGAGAGCAATGAAAAGGCAAAATTGTGTGTAGAAAAGTAACCGCTATTATTCTATGCTCTACTTACTGCTCTTAGTGCTTGCGGGACACAGTCTCCCACCATCTTAAGCCGCAAAGTAGGACTGCTGCAGAGTGGATCACAAAAATCAACGAAGGCAACGTCATGAGGTATCGTTGGACCACTTCTGTTCTCACTCTCGATGGCACAAGCGACCAGTTGTAGTTTACATGAGGCATCCAGTAGGATCTCAGCTAAGCTAATCTAACTCAACTCAATAGCATTTATGATGACGAGTCTTTCTAATGGCATGAGAAACATTTTTGTGCAGCCTAGGTGAAATAGAAACTTAAAAACAAATTTATTTTTTTTTTAAGTCACTGATGCGATGTCTACTACAGTGTGGACTACCGAAAATAGTGATCGATGTGACCCAAATGTCGATTATTTAAAAGATGCATAGAAAAAATTTACCTAACAACACTAGTAAACAAATTTTAAGAAATTTTGGAAGGACATTGTTGCTTTTCGTTTGGTTATATAAATTCAGTGTGATCTCAGGCTAAGGATCATCAAGATACAGCTGACAAGTGACGAACTTGGCTTTTTACAAGCTAAAATCTTAAATTATGTATCAGTTGTTACGATTTCCTACAACCAAAATTTAAATACATATTAGGGTCGTTTGCGGAAGAAAAAATACTTTGCTAAATCATACGTTAACGAACAACAAGGTTTATTATAAGTTTTATAACGTATAATATATTATGAATCTTATCTTTAGTAATCTGTTATGCACCCCATCTGAGTTTAACCAAGAAATTCCACAAAACTACAACAAATAAGTGCTTTTACTTTCCATGGCCACACGCGCACAAACAGACAATTAAACGAACAAACAAACAAATGTCGTAAATGAGATTTATCTAGAAAATAAATATTTGCGATTGCCAACATAGGCTTGCTTCCTCGCCCTCGCGTATATAGCTGGCCGAGTCATAGTAGCAGACGAGATTAGCGGCGCTCGATTGGGCAACCAGCAGACCCAGTGCCAGTGAAAGTAAGGCGAATAGCTTCATCTTACAATAAATACTGGATTAACAAGTTGTAAATAATGCCACCGATGTGTAATTTATGCGTTAACTTGATAAAAAACGAACTGCACAAAACAAAAGTAAAATTAAAACTAAAATCGTTGAGCTATAAATGTCACTGAGCCGCAAATGAAATGAATGCTACCGAGATCGAACCGCTGATCGCCGGAGCTTTGAGTGCGTTTGGAGTGCGAGAAAAGTGATAAGCAGCCGGTGCTTTTTTTTTTAAAGAGCAGCATTTGTATGAGCGAAGTTTCGGGGGAGGAATTAGAATTAAGTTGATTGTGGGTGAGTAAGGGCTCGGAAATCGGAGCACGTCAAAAAATATTAGCATACAAATGCGTGTTTGTACTCGTAAATTAATGTTCTCGAACTTATTTCGAGTGCCAGTGATTGCGAGTGCCGAGAGGCGAGAGGCGACAGAGCAATAAATGGACAACAAAAGATTTTTGTTATTTTTAAATTTGAGTTCATATTTTCTGATTATAGCTGCTTTGCACGATTTGCTGCAGTACTTAAAATACAAATTAATCGATTTAGTAAACAAATAAGAAAAAATAACAAGTCAAGCAGTGAGTCCAAATATGAAGCAAGCGTTGAGTAATCGCTCAAACATCACACGTTTCAGGGTCAAACCGAGATGGTTATACTCTAAGGTGACTACTTGCGTTCGATTAGAATAGAACTCAATCAATAAAATATCGCGTAATTTATGAATATGGCATTTTATTTAATTTTCTAACACAACTAAGTAAAACCGTACAATTAAGTATTTACCATAATAAATAAAATATACATAACTATATATCTATAGACTAATCTTATAAGAAGTGCTTGATTGCGCGCAAAATGGGGAACTTCGAACCGGTGCAAAGTCCACGAAAATCATCATAACTCAAATCGTAGAGCGCCACATCGCCCAACCCCTTGGTGCGCACATAGCTCGCTTTTATCGCAGCAAAATCCGGATCATCGTAGCTCACCCACATGCCATGCTCGCCATTATCGTCCGCCGGTCGCAGAGCATAATTACCATAACGCTGCTGCAAATCGGTGACCTTGCGTAGGGGTGCATTCTCACCACGATATTCAGCATTCACTTTATTCGGCATTTTGGCGCAAATCTCTGGCCAACTGAGCAGTCCAGGAATTTGCGATTGTAGGCCAGCTGGCGCAGGGCCATCTGTTTTAGGAACAACGGGCGCGCCGGAGAAGCCCGAGTTGGGTGTCATTTTCCAAGCTCGTCCATAAGTTGCAATGCCAAGGTTCAACTTCTGTGCTGGACATAGATTCTGTAGCCAATAGTCCACTTGAAATTCTATGTTGTAGTGTGGCAGGCGATTGTGTTCGACAGGCGGATAGATGGGTGCCGTGTAGTCCGCCTCTTCGGGATTGCGTTCCGGTGTGAGAAAGTCGAAGGCGAGTAGATTGATGAATTCGAAATTATTTTTGATTTTTGGCATATCAAAGTACCCTGTAAGGAGAAAAGTGTGTGTGAAATTAAACTTAAAATAACAGAAGTTTGATCCGTTTAATAATAATAAAGCTAGGAATTAGAGCAGGAAGTGAAAAACAAAGTAATCCTACATTTAAGATACTGCCATCAAGCAGTTTCTATAAAAAAAATCATAAATAATGTCTGAGAGCCTGTTTCTTAACAGAAGAATGGAATGTCTTCCTTATCAACTGCTGGAGCTCTCAGTAATGGCACCAAAGATGTCATCGTGATTACTTTGAAGGATAAATTATAAATCTTGCAAAGGCCAGAAAGCTGACAGGGAGCTGCTGAGGTATTTGAACCTTATCATCCTCCTAATAGCTGAGACAAAATGGGTCGCAAATGATATTAGGTTGTACCTAATGGATTACCGCCTAGAAGAACTTTGCAATTTGGGGGAATTTCGCTGAGCGTGAGAGATAACCTCAAGTGTGCCTTGCCCAACCAATTAATCAACCACGCAGCTTCCTGCAATGTCACTATACCCTCGAACCCAAATAAGTCTAAATTGGAAGTAATCCGAGGAAGATTGAGAGTGATGACGGTTATTCCTCGGCCAGTTTCGATCATACATGGATACCACAATAGACAGTTGCCCTCGTAATCGGTATTACACTGGTCTAGCTATTGATTATTTTCTCTATAAGAGACACATCTGTCTTAAATGCTCTGACACTTCATAGAGGGATGTGTGTAGACAAGGACCTTGGCGGTAAAAAGTATGCCGACCAATTCCTTGGTCCAGAAGCTTTTCCCATAGCGAGCATAGGCGAGTAGCATCCTTTGCGAAGTACTTATTGTCAACAGGCGCATGACAGCGTCACTGCAACTACCAACAGTTCTGTTGCGGATCCTCCGGGCTATAAGCCAAACGAAGTTGTTCTCGACGCCGAGATAAGCCCGGGATTTTTCTTCAGGTAGGCATGCTGAGAGCGACATAATCTCTGCTAAATAATTATATTTCTTATATACATACTTGCAGGTAAATCAGTATCTAAAGGATCTTCAACCAGAAGGAAGGCCTGGTAGGTACGCTTTGCTACCATCGCTTTTTGAAACAGAAACCTCCGATATAAGTAAGCGGTACACTGGTATCATATATCTAAGGCCGAGCTGTGGAGCTTTGCAATTCCAACTTTTCCGGTCTGCGAAAATCCTGAACTGCTACAAATTATCAGCTTTCTTAGATTTGCTTGGATCTGTGGGATCATTGTACGCATCAAAAGCCCTGATTACAAGTCGACTAAAGGTCTCTAAGTACTCACTAAGATCTCCTCTCTGACCTATACATATAACTGCCTATGTCCTCCATAATAATATTTATTGATTACTTATATCCTCTAAAATACTCACATGTTGAATTAACATTCGGCAATACAGTCATCGAAAGCGAAAGATTCGAGCGCTGCAAAGCTGTGCGCAAATTTTGTGTGAATTCCGTATACTGTTCCTTATGCTCACTAGCTAGCGGATCCACAACGTAGTCACCGGTGAATATCTTCTTGAATTGCTTCCAAACCGAACCCACAGAGCCATGCACCTTCCTTGGCTTATTGCGTGGCAATTGGAATGCCAAATCGAGACCATCAAAGCCATTGCGTTTCAGCAGCGCAATTGCGCTATCAATGAAATTCTGTTGATCTGCGCGTCCACTTTCCAATAGGCCAATATATTTAAGGGGATTTGCCTCATCCACATCACGATCGCCACCAACACTTAGAAATACCTTCATCTTCGGGTATTTCGCCTTTAGCAGCACAATTTCGTGATAATGAAACATATCAAGATCGACATTGAGACTGAAGACCTCGAACGTCTGCGGCTTAAGGCCAGCATAGCCGTAGATCAGATGCGAGCAGAAGTTAAGGCCAAGCTCAAGGTCAGAGGGCAGTAGTTTGGCGAAGCCTGCAAATAGAGTGGAGGTAGAAAAGATATACAAAAGTTTAGTATAGAATAAAAAAAAAAAATACTGTAACTTACCTTGACGCAGATAACTGGCTGAGTCGTAAAAGCAAACCAAATTCTTTTCAGCAGCAGATACAGCTGGCGGCTGCGAATAGTAGTAGAAGCGTGCAGAGGGAACGCATTTTGATAGATTAATTTTAAATAAAAATACTTATTTTTTTTTAAACACACAATTTAGTAAGAATTTTAGCGAACTTGTCTTGAGCAGTTAAAAATCGAAACTGATTCCGGACAACTGATTTGCAATTTTCGAAGTCTGAATAAACGACAGTCGTTAAATAGCGTCATGATTAAGACTGAGCTCACCGACTTGCTTATCTCACAAATTGTTGGTATATTGCTGTTTATTTGTTTATTCTAAATTATCAGGTTTCTGAATCGTTTACTTACAGCCTCTAGGACTCATGTATTTACATACATATATATACAGTGACGAACAAAAGTATTGACACAGTGAATTTTTCGCCATATATGCAAAGTTTTTTACTGTAATTTATTTTCGATAATTTTTAATAAAAATATAGTTCATTTTACACCAGAAAACGTAATAATAATATCTCTAAACTTTGTGCAAAACTCAGGAAAATTCTTTAAATTTTCACACTAATTTGCAACTTTTTATTCAGATTTAAAAAAAAATTCAAGGTACGCAGTTTTATAGCCCATTCAAATTTAGTATAACAAAGTGCAAGTTTAAAGTTGCTATAAAATCGCGTTGATTTTTGGCAATTTTTTTAGTGGATGGTGTTGCTCATTTTCTCCATACAAAAAATCATTGTCGAATTACTTTGTATGGAAGAACTTGCGTGAAAAAAATTACCAAAAATCAATGCGATTTTCTAGCGATTTCAAACTTGCACTAAAATGAATGGGCTATAAAACTGCATACTTAGAATTTTTCTAAAAAATCTGAATAAAAAGTTGCAAATAAGTGTGCAAATTTAATGAATTTTCCTGAGTTTTGCACAAAGTTTAGA